TCCTCTGGTGTATCCTGTTGCCTCTGATATTGTTTTTCTATTCTACTCGGCGGTGCTATACTTTTCTCGATAAAACCAAAAAATTTCGTTGGCTGGAGCCCAGTGATTTATTCTATCATTTCCTCAATTCCTTCCACCATTGCTTCAAGGATGACAGACGCTATTTTGCTGCTTTCTATTTCTTCTTAAAGCTTATACTCATTGGAACATATGCCCTTGGCTTTGATTGGACAAAGCAATACATATACCAGCAAATTGTATGTACACTGGCAATCCTTCTAGTTGGCACCCTTCAACCATATAGGGAAATGAAGTATAATTTCCTTGACATGGGAATGTTTTCTATTCTTGCTGTAGTTAATGTTCTCTCTCTTTATAGTCGCCATCAGCAAGCTGTCAATATCCCACTCTCAAAAATTACCTTCTATTCTCAAATCATTCTAATATTTATCCCTCTGGCGTACTTCACTTTATACTCTATATATTTCATAATAAGAAATGTGTTTAGATGCAGAAGGAGGTGCAACATTGGCCCTGATGATGATAAGAATGAAGACGAGACATTTAATAATTTTATGAACGATGTCGAAGAGGAGAACCGTTTGGAGACTAACCATTATTATGGGAGTATCTCTGATGATGAGGATGCAGGGCAGCAGAGAAGGAGGGAAAATGAAGCATTGTTCAATAGGCCTAGCCCTGATTCAGTACAGTTTAGATCTAGGAGAGGTCGGACTGAGCCACTGAGGTCCCGTTATATGCCACGCCGAACTTAATTATTAGTAACTGACTTTTTTCTTTTTTTTTGCTGCTGCTATTGAACTGTTTGTGTGAACTTATTCTTGCTGCTAATTTTTGTGTGTTAGGCTTATAGTTGAATTTTTTTGATTTTTGCAAAAAATTGTTAAAAATAATATAGTGAACTAATTATTCATGCCTACATGCATGTTACTGAAATTTACAGACTTTGGCTACGCCATGTACATTTAGATGAATTGATTATAGATTTCATCAGCTTGATTTAAACACTGAATCAGTATTATAATAATGAAATCATTTTATAGCCTCATTACTAACTCAATTTGTGCATTTAATGATAATTATAAATATTTGCAATGTCATACATTATTTTAATTTTAAATAATTATAAAGAGATACATGTATGTGGGCCTTTGATGTATTAGTATGAGGCATGTTAAGTGTAATCATATCTGAAAGACAAACCGTTCAGATTCTAAGAATTTAGACCATTAACTTGTGAATCTAATTAATGGGTTTGCACTTTATAAAAACACTCCAAACTTATAATCATATTAAAACAAATTTTGTGGTTTGGAGTCATGGCAGAGCAAGAACAATCTCAGGCTAAGAAATCTGCTGGATCGTAATTTTTGAAATAATCATAGACAGTATAATTCTGTATAATTTTTCCTAAACTGCAGGGTCAAAAGGACAGCTGGTGCTTTTGGAAAAGCCATTGTTAATACATCTCAATATTTGCTCGATTTGGAAAGAGATGCAAGCAAAGCTCTTGAATATTACTAAGGAAAGCCTGGGCCCATCATAGAGAATTAAGGATACTTGTTAGTGGGAAGACAGGTCAAGGAAAGTCTTCACTTATTAATGGTATTCTTGGTGCTCATGTTGCTAGTGAAGGAGCTGGTGCTAAGAGATGTACAACACAAGTTGAAATGTATTCAGAAATCATCAAAGGTGTACTGATCAAAGTTTTTGATTCTCCTGGCTTACAAGATCATACAGCAAATGAAGAGGAGTACATACAAGGAATGAGAGAAACATGCCAAGAGCTTAGTTTAGTTCTCTACTGCACTAAGATGATTAACACTCGACTAACTGATGATGACAAGAATGCTATGGTTAAGCTAACAAAAGCTTTTGGAGAAAGTTTTTGGAACTATTCTGTGTTTGTCCTCACTTTTGCTAACCTTGAAAATGTT